ATTTTCAATAAAATCAACTAAGAGGTCCATATTTTCTATATTTAATGGTTCAGATATATTTAACATATTATTCTCATTGTCACTATTTTCTGCTAATATATTATCATTTGTATTTATATGTGGAATCGGTTCATATGAAGGATCAAAATCACTGTCATCAAATTCAGAGCCAGATGAGCATTGTAGGGCATTGCTATTAATTGCAGATTTTAATTTCCTGGATCTAAGTCTTGATAATTTAGGCACTTCTGAAGAAATGGTTGATAAATTAGAGTCATCATGTGAATTAATATTACATGAGGAAGATGAGTTAGGGCTTGTAGAAGGACCACCATTAAATGCATTTTTTCTTTTACTACCTCTGGTTGTACTAGTTGGTGTATTACTTGCACTTGAAACACAAAGCACATCTTCGGCATCACTGTCACCTCCAAAGTCTGAATTAAATGCCTGCTGGTCTGAAATACCATTTAATATTTCCAAAATGTCAATTTGTGACACGTGTGGCATTTTTATTCAGAAGCTACAACAAAAAATAATTACCTATATAAAATACAACTAATATAATAAAAAAAAATATGTGTATAACTACATTTTTGTTATCAATAAATGTCAACTATTTGCACTATATCTTCTTTGCGCAAATATTAACCTTGGAAAATATTATACCATTAAAAACAATAGATTGTAACGATTCCAATGGTGTATAAATTACTAATATAATTTTAATTTATAATATAATACTCAACAATCTAAAAAAAACTTTTTTTGAAAAATATTTTTTTTTATACTTTTATCGAATGTAAAAATACTATAAAACCATTGATATCGATAATTTATAATATATAACCTATGTAAAATTGTATAAAGAATTATAATATGTACTTACTTGATTGATTATACGTTGTAGTAAATGGTAGTCACACTAATTTCGTAAAATAATTTTAAAATTTGAAATGTTAACAAGTTTTAACGATCAGTGGCTTGTACACAAGCCACTTTTGACAATAATGATTATCAATACGGTTATCACCATTATAATATTAAATAATTGTTGAACACATGTTATTATGTTATCATTCTATCGTAATTGATAAGCAAAACAAAAATTGATTTATTTTTATGGCGGTTTTTATATTGATAATAAAGTGGCTACTATCTATGCCACAGTTCCGTTAAACTAGAATTAACAAAAATAATTTTGATCATACGGGTCTCTTCAATGGTGGCTGATATGGAGGCCACAGTGGTCTTATTTGTCGTATTTGAAAATTAGGTTTGCCCGTTAAAGGGTTAATAGGTAATCTCATATTATCACAATCTAAGATGTACCTACTCACAATATTTTATATTATTTATGTATATATACCATTAACTGTTTAGTAGGTACCTATGTCCTATTTATTATATATTACATGGCATGATGAAAAAAATGTATATCTCTCTCTTACTCTTCACCTGAATGTTTTCAGCTCAGCCACAATAAGGACTTTTTTTTTTTTCCGTTTGAACCGACAGCAGAGGAGGATCTGTGTGAACACTACTACTCCTCTGCTGCCATCGTTTATTAATGTTTAATAAAAACGTTAATACATGCACATTCTTAACACATAACTTATTATGGTTGCTTAAAACTAAACAATAATACAATAGGTACAATACAATGCAATACAATAAATAATAAAGTCAGTCAGTTGGAGCGGCTGCCACTGCATTCGCTCTTCGTTCAGTCTCAGCTATCCTTTCATCATGCTCCTTGCAGCTTAAAATGTTGTCAACCATGTCATAAAAGGACTGAGTGGCACGTTGAGAGGCAGCCCGTAGCCGGTCGTTCTCGCTGAACAGGGCATCAGAGGAGCCGCACAGCAAATCCTGGAGCCACAATAGGGACTTAATATTAAAAGTTTGATGTAGCTACTGAATCTTACTTTAAAACTTTATTATTTACAAATACATTTTAACTTAAAAATTTAACTCTAGTAAGTTGTTGTCAAACGAGTATCTTACTTTTTTATAATAACATTAGCGTATTCAATATTTGTGTGGTATCACTGTCACTGTCATGACAACACAACAGCAATTCATGTTCTAGCACAAGCCTCGTGTGAGGTGAGCTCTTTATTATTTAATAAAATAAAACATTACTATTCAAAATACAGTGACTAAGAAATTAAATAAAACAATATTCATATAAAGGATCTACCTCTGTTTTTTTTATCAGATACAACGATATCAGCAAAACTAATGATTTTTTATTTGCTTGCAAGTATAATAAACCAACTTAACCAACTATATGTTAGTATATACCTACATAATTTATAATAAATAACAATAGCTGAAAGCAAATTTCTGATAGTTATAAATAGCTCAATAAGAGTCAAAATGTTTTGAAAGTTTTATGATGTATGGGAAAACAACCTATAAACATTTGGTGAAATTGACTGTACCTATGTAAAGTTGAAAGTTTCCAAGTTAGACAAGTATAGAAAATGTTTGCATTTTTTTATTTGATTGAAAACTAGAATATAAATTATAAACTCATATTTTCAAAATATATCAAATTTATAATATTGATATACCTAACCTTCATAGAAAATATTATGTTTTAATTTAAAAAAAACATTGGTATTATTTTTTAAATAGTATTGATAAGGTTGAATATATATATATTTATTTTGTCATTTTGCAGGTATTGATTAAACTTCCAGGTTCAGAGAACTTCATGATGATTAAATATTGTATAATGTTCAGGATGACGTTTAGTATGTATAGCAAGTTATACAAAATAGATTTGTTTTTCATTAATTTTATTTTTTGTCATTATTTTTATTGCATATTAAAATATAAGCTATAATCATAATATATTATTAGAAATTATAACTATAATTATCAATTATTTAAATCTTTGATAGTTTGATATGAAATTAAATATGTATAATATAGTTTCTACACAATTTTAAATATCGTAGTTAATTACTTATTGAATTATTTAAAAACTGTAAATCACTACCCTAACTACTCAAATGTAACTAAGGTAACATTAATTCTTACTTTTAATTCTAATCTTTTTTTTATTTAAATATTTTGTGACCAAAATTTTGTTTAAAATACACTGTATTAATTATATGTATTCAATGTTATATAGTATTAGATAAAAATAAGTATGCTAATATATTTTGATGAACAAGAAGTGTAAATAATATATAAAATATAAATTTCTTTGTGTAATTATACTGTAGGTACAAATGTACAATCATAACTAATTTATTGATATCTTCAAAGTTGTTGTAAGGTTTGAAGTATATCTAGTTGTAAGTTGTTTATCATTTGACAGTTCTGAGCTCATGATTATTTATTAATTTTATATCTATTGATAAGTACCTCTAATATAGAAATGTAAAATAATTGACGAATATTAAGGTTTCATAAAATGAAATAATGTAGCTTAAAAATACATTTTAATTACATTAAAATATTATAATTAATTACTAATTAAGTTATATAAAGCTGTATAACATATTGCCCTAACTCAGGTAATACCTATGTTATGTTATTTTTTATTTGTTTATTGTAATCTTTTTTTTTTTTATAAATATTTTGTGACAAAAGTTTTGTTCAATTATTATATTATTAATTAAATGTTATTAACATTAGAGTTATTATTAAAACCAATATATTTTGACTTAAATATTTAACTCTAATTAATAAGTTGTTGTCAAACGAGTATTTTACTTTTTTTATAATAATACTTGGTTTTTGTATTAAAGACCTATATTTTTATTAGATAATATAACGGTATCATCTAATAATATCAACTTATAATTTTTTTTATTTACTGGCAAGTTAAATAAACCATTAATATATTTATATATATAGTAAATAACGATAATTGAAAGCAAATTTCTGATTGTTACAAATAGCTCTTTAAGAGTCAAAATATTTTGAAAATTGTATGATGTATGCATAAAGATCATATAAACATTTGGTGAAAAATAAAGTACTTATATACAGTTACAAGTTTCTGTTACACCAAAAAAATAAAATATATATTACCAAAAGATTTCAATTTTCATACATTTTTTTTTTGTTTAACCCGATCCTCTTTGAAAATTACTGGAAATGCCTTACTTTTTACCCTCCAAAGTATACTAACTAGATTCACTTTCTACCCGAAAAGTATATAGTACAAAATGTATTTTAATCGATGCGTTATTATATAGTTTTTATAGTTATTACTGACCCCCTGAAAGGTGTTTACAGACAAAAAAAAAATAGTATTAAACACATCAGAAAATCATTGCCTTTTTTAGAAGTACTTACTTTCTGGTTTTAACCGTTTCGATTTGGTGTTTTTTTATAATTTAGTTGTTGTTAATGTTGAAATATATCGAACATTATTTAATAATCATCAACAATAATTCGCAACTTGTAACTTGAAAATGTTGAAGCACTGAAGACTGAAGAAAATTATTAACGACGTGAGTTGTGTCATTTGTCCGTGATTCGTGACATTTTAAAATGTTATGGCGTTATGCCATGGCACATGAGTTTTAAATTTTAATATCTATTATCTGGTTAGTGGTTCAAATCAAGCGCCAAAAACTTAATTCATTTTGATAATTAATTTAAGTGACTTTTTGTCGATATTTTTATCGTATTAATACGATAATGTTATAGTATTTGTACGATTGGTAGTGTGGTATGATGGTTTTTTGTCGAGTGGCATTTTGTCGGATTTTGGTGATGGTGTTTTGTCGAATGGTTTTTTGTCGTTATCGAGTGGCTTTATGGCGGGTGGTTATTTGTCGAGTGGCTGTTTGACGATTCATTAGTGTTCGATTTTCATTCTCAAATTTACGGTTGGTAGTGTGGTACGATGGTTTTTGTCGGATGGCATTTTGTCGGATTTTGGTGATGGTGTTTTGTCGAATGGTTTTTTGTCGTTATCGAGTGGCTTTATGTCGGGTGGCTTTTTGGCGTGCTTCCCAATTATTCCAAATATTTATTAAACTATAAATATAAATATACATTTGAAATATAAGAGATTAAAGTTTAGTAGGTAATAAAAGTAATTGACATTTGACTTTATCTTGATGTCTTAACTTGATGTTAAATTGTATTATAGACTCTATCTGGAAACTAGTCTTGGTATCTGAGTAAGATGTAAGTATCTACAAAATTGTATTATTACAAATGTGGTTTTTTCGCTTATATAGTTATTGTTGTGAATGTTGTGATCATTTTAAATTAAAAGTTTGTACGGTGTACCTACAGTATGATATTCTCTTCAGTACCTACGAATTTTTCGTTCATCTAGTTCATCTTGTTGTAACGTTTTGATTATTTTGAATTAAAAGTGCGAATATAAAATGGAAGTGATTCGAAATAATAATAAAAAACCTCAAATTCCATATGGTGGATATTTGTACAACATTCAAAAAGAGTGCAAAAGTATGATTCGTTGGAGATGTACTAAATCAAGTTCAATGAAGTGTCCCTGTATTTTAAAAACAGATTTAAATATTGATAGTCCAACTTTAATATCCATTGAGCACGATCACGTACACGAGCCAAATGAAAATATGCTTTCTGCAGTAAAAATTATAAAAAAAATGAAGGCAAAAGCCACAATAACCAACGACGCACCTAGTCAAATATTTTCTAATGCAATATTAAATGTTCCGGAGAGTGTATTAGCCGAATTGCCGAGGGAAGATTATTTAAAAAGAAGTATTCGAAATCATAGAAGGTATAAAAATCCACCAAAACCGAAATGTCTGCCGGAAATAATTGTTGAAGTTAAATTAAAATTTTTAAAACTATTTATTTCGTTTAATTTGTAAACAAGATATATGAGTATTTTTGAATTTCAATATTTTATGTACTTATATCTCGCTTATAAATAAAATTATTGTAAAAGTTAACGTACAATGTTTAGAGATTTTTTTGGGTTCAGTTCTTATCTCTAAAAATGTTAAACACCTGTACATTATTGAAATAAAAATTGATTTTTAAAACAATTTGGTACTTATTTAATTTTCAATTTCATAAGTGAATATAAAGAATATGGAAAAGAAAGATTTTTACTATACGACAACGGCCCAAATACCTGTAGTGAAAGGATTATTATGTTTGCCACCGATATAGGATTGTCCTTACTAGCTGAGTCGGATAAATGGTTTAGCGATGGAAACTTTGGCCTTGCTCCTGAATTTTTTAAACAATCATATGTAATACGTGTACAAAAAAATGCAGTGTTTATTACAGCTGTTTATTGTATTCTTGAGCGTAAAACTCAAGTTACATATGAGGAAATGTTTAGTATTATAATAAATGAAAGTAAAACCCGCGATATGTATCTAGATCCAAGATACTTACACTTGGATTTTGAATTAGCTGTTATAAATGCCGCTAAAAATATTTTAGGAAACCATATTACGATAAATGGGTGTTTTTATCATTTATGTTAGTCGACTCATAGGAAATTACAAAAACTTGGTTTGGCAACCATTTACAAAGAAGATAGTGACTTTAGAAAGTATTGTGCTATGATCGATGGCTTAGCTTTCGTACCTCTGGACAAAGTGGTAGATGGAATGATGTGCTTGAAAGAAAATAAACCACCTCAAGCAGAAGACCTTTTTTTTTATTTTGATTTTTATTATGTAAATAGTACATACAGGCGAGTAGGAACTGCTTCGTCCTTGCGTTTGCGTAGAATACGTCCCATATTTACAACGACTACGTGGAATGTACACGAGTTAACATTAAAAAGTGGGCATCGCACCAATAATAATACAGAGGGTTGGAATAACCGCTTTTCAAAGCTCTGTGGTCATAAGCATCCAACAATTTGGAATTTAATAAAAAAAATGAAAATGGAAGTTGCTGCAGACCAAGCAAAATTGGCGTTGAATAATGTAGTTGACAGAGTACAGAGTACAAAACTAGGTACAAAACAACTAACCGAAAACCGACTAAAAAATGTATGTGTGCAAATTAAAAACAATGAAATAAGTATATTAGATTTTTTGGTGGCAGTTAGCCACAACATAAGAAAACAATGCAAAAAATAAATTTTTTATTTTATTTCAAATGTTGATTCTTTCTTAGTATTTCCATAAAAAAATGCATATTGATTTAATAAAATGAATAGAAATATCAAAATCATGTATAATATGCTCGATAAAAATATGCAAAAACATCCAAAATAGGACTTCACATATTTAACTTTAGTACCTTGAAATGGATGTCTATGCTAGCTAGCATTAAATACAACTTAGCAAGATTAATATGAAAATGCATGAACTTAAGAGCTCTGGTTATTAGAAAATAGAAGGTAATGTGCCTAGTTTTTAAATATGACTATACATGAAATAATCAATAAGACAAATTATTATTTTAAACACTCTACAACTTAAGACATGTTATTATTTTTAATATTTTTTTTGTCATTATCAGAACTAATTGAGACTAAAAAGGGGATATTTCTGATTGAATAATTGATTATTTTTACACTTTTTTATTTGCAATAGCAGGTACATTAAAACATGAGGAATAGGTAGATGTCACTTGCAGAGTATGCTTTCCTATCTTATTATTTGCTTGATAAATATCTAAATAAATTATAGAACTATGTATAATTCATTGTACCTATTTTTTTTATATTCAATAATTATTTATTCAGTTAAATAATGTATCATTATTATTACTTTTTTAAAATATAAATTAAAATAGTATGCAAGCAGCAAGCATAATTATAGAGTCACTAGTATACAGAATACAAATTAACAAACCAAAATTTAAAAATATGTTGTATTTTTTCATAATATTTTATTATTTTGGATTTTATACAAGTTAAACAATTAATACAATATTCTAAACTAGAATATTTGAATCAGAAATATTAAAACCAATTATAAAATTTAAATAGAAAAGTGGTTAAATAGGTGATGCTCTACTATAAAGTAGATTACAAGTGGGTCTCTGTCACTCATTGTAATGAATGGTGAATAATATATCATAAATATATACACAAAACGATTCTGAGTGAAGACAGTCTGTTAGTCCAGCGTTTCTCAAACTGTGGGTCGCGAGTCAATTTTTGGGGGGTCGCGAGAATTTTTTTTTAATTATACAAATTGTAAAAAATTTATGTATAGACTATAGAACTATAATAGAAGTATAAAGTAATATAAGAATATTATTGCGGGAATTATTATGATGGGTATTTTTGGTACGTCGTTATCGCAAAAATATTTCGATAAAATATGACGATAAAGTCGGTACTCGGCAACTATATAGTTGTCTGTAAAATTTCAGTTAGTCGTTACGGCGTCGTTAGTTGTTACGCTGTATCATCACCCGCTTGTAATTTTAGTTAATGTGTCGTGCACGTGTATGAGTGTGTTGTACCGCGTGCGTTCGTTTTAGTGCGATCGATTGCTTGGTGTGATTAAAGCTCTATTTCTGAGACAATTATTTATTTACAAAAATTGTATGATGGACAAATGGTTGGTAAATAAGCGAAAAATTGAAACTGATGAAAACGAACCTTCAACTTCGGTTTTAAAACGTAAAAAAAGACAAGTGACACTCGGGGACTGCCGCGATAAAGCTATTGCATATTAAATAAATAAGAAGTTGATATAATTTAAAATTTTTTTATTATTCTAGTTATTCAGGAATTTGTATCATAGAAACTATAGGCCTATGATAACTAAAATATGAAACATAAGTTTGAGATTTAATATTCTCCAAATATCTGGAAAATACGGCGTCGATGGTGGTCACATATTTTGTAGTAGATTCTTGTGGATCATTATTTATACGTAAATTGAATTTTTCTAAGAGAAACGTCGTTAGTCTCTCTGATTTTTTATCAGCGAAGTTGATGTTGAAATCGCCAGCCAAGATAAGTGGAAATTTATGGGAATTTCCACCAAGTATTTTTGACCCTTCTACAGTGTACTCCAGTAAAGTGCGATGAATAAAATATTCTACCTCGTCCAATTTTGGATTTGGAGTAATGTAAATGACTACAATGACTATTTCTAGGCCATTTTGTAGTTTGCATAAGCACGCACAAATATCTCCAACATTTGAGTGTCTAACATTTACATCTACAACATTTGCCACATTTATATCAATATTCGGAGTCATAATATTGGTAGTATCATTATTATTATTTTGGTAAATGGCTACCCCACCTTTTGAAACAGTATCTCGTTTGAAATGAACTATGCAATTGAAATTGGGTATGTCGATCGGATAATCATTTGACATGCAAGTTTCACTTAAAAGTAATACATTCGTTTGTCTAGTTACGGAATCTTGTAAATCGTATTTATGACTGTTAAGACTTTGGCAATTGAAAGTCATTATTGAAACGCCATTTCTATTTCTAATAAAATCTAAGACACTTAGAGCTTTTGTCTGCACACAATTCAACGATAGTCTTTTAAATTCTTGCAACAATGAAGCGGTTGATGTAGCTTGCCTTCGATTATGATAAAATTTAAATGTAGAATCATCACTTGTCACAATATACAAATTTTCAATATTTGTTACACGAGAGAGCGCAACATAAACGAGTTCTTGTGAATGTGTTTTACTATACTCATATACTATTTCTTCAAAAGTCCCACCTTGCGACTTATGTATAGTCATAGCGAGAGCTGCAATTAATGGAAAATGTTTGCGTTTGACTACCACTTTCCTATCCGATGTTAATGAAATATTCGCTGTTCGTAATTCAATGGGAACAGCAAGATTGCTGACTTTATTTCGCAATGCTAATGCAGCTCCTTTTCGTCTTTTTTTTCTACCAACTTTATCTGAACCACAAAATTCCATCCAAACTCTAATCAAGGTGTAACTTTCATCAAATTCTAGATATACCAATTTACCAGCAGAACCATTGCATAAACCATCGTTCACATCGATGTTGGTTGTGATAAGATAATACTTTCCTATCACAAAAGTAATTTCATAAGGTAGTCCACCAGTGTCGATAACCGATTTTTTATGTAATTTAATTCTAAAATTAGCTTCTTGTTCATGATTCTTAGAGCCAATAATCACGTCTGTTGATGTGGAAACAAATTTGTCTTCACATTGACTCAAAATAAAATTGTTATAGGCGGCAACATTTTCATTTTTGAAAAATAAACGGACTCCATTTGGACATAATGCAGCAACATCTGTTTTTTTGAAAAATCTCGATTCAATAAGTTCGAACTCATTCTTCTCTAGTGGATCTCCATTACCTATCTTTGTCAAAACTTGGGAAAATGCAACATTAGCTTGTCTCATTACTGTGGTAAGTTGATAAAATTTCAGTTTTCTCCATAGATGTGGTCCAATCATGCTCGTTCTGATTGTCTTGTAAATTGGTGTGGATCTTACCGGTGGCAACTGTCGTAAATCTCCAATCAAAATAACATCTATATCTCCAAAATCCGTGTTTTTTCCAGTGATTTGTTTTAAACGATTATCAATTTTATGAAGAAGTTCTGCACTAATCATGCTAATTTCATCAATGATCAGTACTCTGACATATCTGAAGAGAGATCGATACAATTGCAACGTCTCTGATGATAGAGGCAATAGTTTTGAAAGAGAAATTCGGAAAGCAGTATGGACGGTTGTACCATCAATAGCCACCGCAGCTTTGCCAGTTGAGGCACACGTAATATACGAATTGCAGTAACCATCATTATCAGCGAATCTGTTGTAAATTTCCATTATCAAACTAATAACGAACGTTTTTCCTGTACCAGCCGGTCCGGTAAAAAAAATTTGAAATGGTTCTTGAATTGAAGTTTGTAAGTGATGGATTATAGTCATAAGCAAATCTCTTTGTTGATCATTAGCCATTCTCATTAAGTCATAGAATTGTTTGTAATCCATTAAATTCTCTCTTTTTTTTGCAATAGCACCAAGTTTATGCAGAGTAGCATTTTGTAAATCAACGTTAGCAGTTGAGTTTGGATCACGTAGTAATAATTCATAAGGATCTCTTTCATGCAAGATTTCGACAGCCCTTAATAAATCTTCATATTCTTGTTCTTCATCGGTTTCTCTGCATAATTTTTTGCAAATTTCCAGAGTTTTTTCTACGTCCAAATTAGATTCGAATTCTTTTCTACGTTCTAAAATGTTTTCTTTGTTATCGTCATATATTTGAATGAACTTATTTTCTGCAATAATATCATTTTCTTCACTCTGAAAAGGAACATGCAACAAAACCATTTCAAACCTATAATCGTTGTAATTGTCAGCCATATCGTAGTTCCTGTATCTTATTATTTTTGCAGTATCTCGTTTTGTGTAGATGCCCTTGTTATTGATGTAATAGTTTGCAACAAATTGTGCTAACGTAACATCACGGAGTTCTTCAGGTCGTTTTTCATACTTATCAAACCAATTCTCTTTCCAAATGTTCGTACAATCATCATCCAAAGTTTCAAGTTCCTTCATAGTTTTTCTTATTCTGGCACGCTCAGTAGGAAATATAGTTGGAATATAGACTGTCACTACCGATGACTTAGCCATAGGTGTGCGTAATAAATACCAAGCAGCCTCCTGTGCCGGCATTTCAACAGACTGAAGTATGTCAATACTCATTTTTTTTGTAATATCAACAATGTCAAACTCTGGATGCTCATCCAATATATCAATTATTTGTCTTTGTAAATTACTGATCCCTCTATTATGCTTGTTGACATATTCAACAACATATTTTGCACAAGCATATTCATCTTGAATAATTTGAAAATCCATGTTTGATTTCAAATGATGTAGTACAAATGGGTTGAAAGTGTTATGCCATTTTTCTGTTGGGGTTCTTTTATAGAATAATTTTGGTCTGTTGATACCCGCACGAATAATATCATAGTAATGATCATCAGAAATAATATCATTATGCGAGTAAAAGTCATCAAAATCCTTAAAGTCAACATTTTCGAGATTCATTTTTATTGATTTGAAACGTTTCTTATATTCTTTGAAAAGTGCTTCAGAGAAATCGGGATCAGTGTCTTTCATAGGTATCAAGGTAATAGTTTTTTTTGTTGGCATAAATGGTGCGCCAAATCTACATTCTTGCTTTTTATTAGGATCCATTTTTTTGTAACACGTAAATGTGTGTTTGTGTGTTACTAGTTTAATATTTCCGGATGCCTCTGATGCTGACACAGAAACTAATTCGTCGATTAATTGAATTACTTCAGGATCATTGCTTAATAAATCTTCAGGAGTATTGTCCAGCCACAGAAGAATATGAGCGTGCGGACTACCACGGTGCTGAAATTCTATTCTGATGAAATAATGAATTACTTTATGTTTTCCGAATGCACTCCTTTTCTTCGATTGTAAAACTTTCATTAAACAATTCACTAATTTATAAAAGTAAATAGCACAAGTTACAGCATCTTCATTAACAAGTTGAGCTTTGTGCACATAACTCATTTCTTCTAAAAACTCATCCGAAATATCCGCTCCTTCGTTTTTCAATTTATACAATAATTTCAACAAATCTTTCCAGCCAGTTTCATAAGCGCTTAGAGTCATAAAAGCAGTCGGTGCTCCTAACTGTCTGATCATTGCAAAAAGATCTTTTTTCCGATTTGTCCAAAACCAAGCAGAGTTGGGTATACAACGAAGAAATGCAAGATTGGTCTCTAAACAATTATTTATGTAACCTTCAGATTGAATAGTCTCTTTCGTAATTGAAGTACCTTGGCCAATATGCTTAAACGCAACGCTGACACATTGACTAACTCGTAGCCTCATGATTTTAGCAGCGAGGTATAAAAGGTGTTGTGGGTCAGTAGCACGTCTATCATTACGCCGAAGTTCACTGGTAGCTTGCATGAATGGAGTAACAGTGACACCATCCCTGTATGTACGAAACTGACCGCCATAGATTGTTGGAAAAGATAGTTCTTCTGCATGTTCATCCATCAGAATACTGATTGGCCTTTTATATTCACCCGGTGCTATACTTAAAAAATAATCATCATTCCATAAAAGAGTTTGTTGCTGCGCTGTTAAGTTATCTTCAATAGGAACATGCTCACTTATCTCATCCATGATTAATTGTGAAGTACTTTCATTCTCAGTCATAAATGAATCAACGATTTTAATATCATGATAAACATAAAGAGGCGTAGATACTAAATACGACAACCACTCTTTAATATGTCTCTTATTAATGAGTCCGTGGACATAACTGGTTTTATGAATTAATTTCTTTTTCAAATGCACATAAAAGCAATGATCATCTTCAATGTTTCTTGGTAATTGTTTCACCATTGTATTCACTTCGATAGGAACATTTATTATTTGACCGAAAATACCGTACTGACCATTAACGTGCCTCAGTCTACGTATTTGCATAAATGGTATTCTTGGTGAAATCAATCGTTGCTCGATAAGATTTAACGTTGGTAAATGTGATGGAATTTTCGGATATGCAAAACCATTGTAGGTTGACATGAGAGGAATTTTTCTTTTGTTCAAAGAGGTATAACACGTGGAACAGACTTGAACAGTTACACCAGGTGTGTAATTCTAAAATTATCAAATTCATATTAGCAAGATATAAAACGAAAACAAAATAATAATTAATTAATTTAATTAAAAAATAAAATATATAATTGTGTTTACCTGTAGTATTGTTTTCAAAATACTGTCATGTTTACTGGTCGACATTTTCAAGTCTCTTTGCCACCATAGTCTATCGCAAATGACACACGAATGACCAAAAGAATTATACGTAAAGTCTTTATTAAAATCAAGATGACTTCTACTGTGCTTGTGATGATTTGAGTAAATTGGAATAGTACCATCAACAATAAAATCCATAACATTTGGATCAATACAATCTTCTCTATCAGCCGCCAATTCATTTTCATGATTGTCTTCGGTGAAATCCTTATTGTAATTGTCACGCAATAGTCGAATATTGTCATTAACATTGACTTCATTTCGGCGAATATCTTCGTTGTTCTCCAATAAATATTGTACTTCAAAGTAAGGCGTAAAGTGCAGATCACGAAGATCAAGATGACTCCAATTATGTGTATCATTTGCTTTAAATTGACAAAAACGAGTGTCTTCATTTTTCGTAATTACGTTAAAATAGTGGTAATGCACACAAATATTTTGATCGTACATTTTCGAAAATAAGTATAAACAATCCAAATCTCCATAATCATTGTTACTTGAGAGTATGTTATATGCTTCCTCCGGATTGTGACAACAGTTCAAATAGGGTGACTCACGTAACAGTCTTCTCAAATCACTAGTCGAAATTTGCATTTGCAGCACCCATATGAGTGAGTGGAATAGACAATTACCATCGCCTGGAATCTCCGTATTTCTGCGGAGAAAGACTTCGGGAGTAATGCATTCGCGAACCTCTTCATATATACGAAGTTGTTGGGTGAGAAATTGATTTTGGCCAAGCTGTACATTTTCTACATTTTCGATAGCCCTGTATTGCACGACATTCTCTTGGTCTTTATGACTGTCCAATTTCTGTCTTTTCCTGCAAAACAAAATGAAGAAATCATATAATAATAAAATAATAATATTAAGGCATATAATTACAATTTCGATTTTTAAAATATGAAATTTAATTACATTTGTAAATCATCCAATTTTTTTTGGGCAATTTCTTTTACATTACGTTGACGGAATTCTCTTTGACGATCAGCATTTGATTTTGGATATTTTTTTTCATTTTCATTTTTCTTCAAAACTTTTTGACGCTGACGATATGCATTTTGATTCTC